GAGGTCTTCTGCTGATCGTACATCAGAGATCATCAACTTGTATTTGAACAGTGATTCGTGGTAGCAGACTTCCTACAACTTTCCAACTCTTCACTCATCAGCCTCCAATGACTAGGAGGAGTTGAAGTACAACTGTCGAGGGAGGCCATTTTGATAGGACTAGAGAGGTAAAAAGAGACAGACAGACACAAAGGTAGAGAAAATGTGAGGTGAGTACTGTGAAAATGATCGAAAAATGATACCCAGTTGTGCCATGGTAGTTTGAAGTCAGAAGTCAACTGCCAGTTAATAGACTTTTTTGCCGTATGAGGATACGTTGCCCAGGGTGCACCACGTGGAGGAAAGTCTATCGCATATCCCGTTCGACTAATGGTTGGGAGTATCAAACATCTCCTCCACCATTTAATCAGTGGGCACATCTCCTCTCCAGCTAATAAGGCACTTGACGCATTATTAGCTGACAATAAATAGCATTTAATTAACACAACTCTACAAGTTCCATGTGTCTGAGTAGATGCAGAAATGGAGAGAACATTGGTAACATACGAGGCTTGCTTGTTGGAAGCAGATGCAAGCGCCTTTTACGCGGTGTCTGCTGCACCAATCGGTGCGGAAGAATTGGTGGCCTATTTGATAGCCTCGTCCATTTCGTCACGGAAAGATGGAGCTCCCTCGTGAGATTGGTCAATCAACTCCACAAATTGTTCGCGTTCTGCCAGTAATTTGCTCACAAAATATGTGTGAACCCAAAACAAGAAGAAACCATTTTGTCTCACACATACACGCATACACAGAGACACACATGAACAAGAGGCCATTACTGCCCTCAATTGACAACTTGCATACATTTCATTAGGAATGCCGGCTAGAGTGGAGCTGACCTTCGTTTTCACGAGTACAACAAGTAAGGGCTGTAACGTTGCCGGCCGATTAGTTGTCCTGAGAAGCTGATAGAGTCGGTGCAGTACTACAATTCAGGACAAAAGGTTAAATTGTTTTGTATACACATATTTGGTGGCAATGATAATAATACTGCTAGTGAAGTTACCAATGATGATGGTGGAGATACTACTACTAATCAACGCGCCATCCTCCTGTTTGGTGTTAACCATCTCGGTAACCCTAACGCTTAGGAAGTCCCCTTGATATTGGACAATAACTTCACCAAAAAGGTGGACTAGTTGCTCACGGATGAGAGGGTAGTATTTGTTGGCTCGTTCAATTTCGTGGCTGAACACTTTGTGAACCTAGAAGAAGAAGAAGAAGAGTGAGAAGGTGAGTAAGGAGGTGGGTAAGAAGGTGGTAAATGAAAGCAAACCTCTGAAACGAAATCACTGTAGGACTGTGCACATGCTCGAGTTAACCATTCCGAATAAAGCACTCGAATGTTCTTCGTTAACGCCTTGTGAAATAAGTGAGCATAGACACTGAGGTCATTCTTCTTTGCATCTGTGAAGAGAAAAACTCCAGGCAGGCCGGAATGCAGTCCTGATGCTCAACAATTCCCGAACGATCTCTGCAAAACCTTGATGAAACAAGAAGGTGGCATACTTTGAGATCACCTTGAGCAGACATGACGTTAATTATGGCCAAATTCCATCAATTAGTACACTTCTCCACATGTACATTCACACTGCAAAATATTCTCCATCTCTATTCTTTCAAAAGCACATAGATCACCATAGTCGCACAGACTGAACGTTGACCTCATTTATATTAGGTGATCGCTAAAATACCTGTGGCCAAGGTAAAATAAATTTGCCAACACTTACTTGAATTATTCATCCAGGTATTACAACCCGCAGTGAAAGTTGTCCCAAAGTCGTTTGAAGCAGGGACGAAAGCAATCGTTATTGGTTTGGACAAATTCGCTCCGTATTTCTCTGAGTATTTTATCTAGCACTTCGACAACAGCTCCTTATAGCTTGAAGACCTTCGAGTCCTTTCCTTACAATCAGAGTAATCGAATAGGAGAAAAATTAGAGCACCACACTGCATTTTCAACCTTCCCGTATCTTATTGCAGCACGACAAACACCGCAAATTTTCTTCCACGCAGATTCAAATTTGATGTCGTTAGCTCTTGTCAGCAGCATTGATCGAAACTAATTACGAAAATTATGACGAAGTGGCGCCCCAAACGAGCCTATGGTAACACCGCGTTAAAACAAAACTCTTCTTCGAAATCTACGTAAATGCTCTCAAATTATCTATTCAAAGCACAATTTTAAATAGCCATTAAATCTAATTATTGAGTTATTAAATACCTCAAAAATAAGAAGTCACCAATGTTGCTCATTATGACTTGGAAAATTTTAGCAAAATTTCAATAAGTGGTCAAATTGCATTTGGTCAAACTTTCTACAATTTTACTCACCCAAAAAATATTAAAAATTAACTAAAAATAAAACTACAGGGTGCAATATTATTTGTAGTGCAGTAAGCGAACGTCATTAATTCAGTAGTACCAATAACTTCTACCTCTCTCTCTACTTACAAATTTAATTCTTCAGTCAAGTTGATTGAAAGCGAACTACGTATTTTTGATTAGTAATTAGGGACGTGGAAATAATGATAAAAATCGATTGAATAGGACATTAAGAGATGTTCGACGTAACCAAAGTTCAGAATCACCATAGAGGATGAGAATTCTCACTCCCATTTCTGCTGTCAAATTCTTCTCTAGCCATTTCTTTCTTGCTTGAAGTCAGAGAAAGTCCACGCCTTATACGGCACGAAGGTGAGATTAATTAAATCACATAAAGCTCTCCTATTCAAATCCCGTTATGTCCTTTTGAAGTTCCTCTTAATTGTGTGACAGATAAATCTAAACGTGGTGCATCCTGGACACAGCATACTCATGCGGCAAAAAAGTCTATAAACCGGCACTTGACTTTTCACTTCAAATTACTCTGAAGGGCCAATGATAATAATCATAAAGCATGCCATTTGAAATAAATATTTATTTATATCAAATGGCAGGCGTTTTGATGGTTATCATTAGCCCTTTAGTTGACTTCAGGCTTCACGGAGGGGAAGGAACATCAAAGTGAAAAAAGATCGAGAGGGGGCAGACACAAAGGTAGAAAAAAGGTGAGGTGAGTACTGCGGAAATGATCGAATATGACATAGAATCAGGTCATGGTAGTTTGAAGTCAGAAATCAACTGCCGGTTAATAGACCTTTTTGCCGTATGAGTATACGTTGCCCAGAGTGCACCACGTGAGGGTGAGTCTATCGAACATCCCCTGAAATAATTATAATAAATAATAAGATCATCAATCAATAAATATAATGTTCCTCTCTAGATTATCAATGCTGTAGATGGAAAGTTCTTGTAGGGTCACACATCAATCTTTTCATTTCTAATTACGATGATTGAATGCATTTCGATATACATGAAGATTTATTAATCCCGCTGAAAAGTTTCCATAATGAGAGCAAGTTTCATTTTTTATTCAAACTAATGACAATCAATATGTAATGAAATATCAAAGATACTTGGTAAATATTCAGTATTATACTGTAGATGTCACTTACGAAATTAAGTAATATAAAAGAATTACGAATTTATATTGGCTTGGTTCTAAAGTCTCCAGAACTTCCAAATCCATTGATTTCTTTCTCTTACTTACTTAACTCAACTCGAAGAATTGATTTTCGTCCTACAGAGTGGAGTATAGATACCACCAATTTTGAGTTACAGCTCACTTCTCTTTCAAAAAATGCAATCATGGGGTGCGCAATAGACTTACCTCCACATGGTGCACCCTGGGCAGTGTATACTCATACGGCAAAAAGTCTATTAACTGGCAATTGACTTCTGACTTCAAACTATCATGACCCCGTTGTATGTCAATTTCGACCACTTCCGCAGTACTCATCTTACCTTTTCTCTGTTTTTGTGTCCATCCGTCCCTTTACATCTGTAAATCACTCTTCTTTCCCCCTCTCGAAATTTTCTCACTATACTGTTCCTTCCCCCTGTGAAGTCTGAAGTCAGCTAAAGGGTTAATAATAACTATCAAAGCGCCTGCCACTTATCAAATAAATAAATGTTTCTTTAGTTGGCTTGGAGCTCCGCAGAGGGGTTGGGGAGGGGTTCTCATCGAAGTCACAAAAAGTCGATTTTGGGGGAGGGGAAACGAAGAGTGACTTACAGATGTAGTAGAGGGAGACACAAAAGTAGAGAGTAAGGTAAGGTGAGGTGAATACTGTGGATGTGGTTGAACATGACATGCAGTCTGTTCATGGTAATTTGAAATCAGAACTTCACAGCCCGTTTATAGACATTTTTGCCATATGAATATATGTTACCTCACAGAGTGAGGGAGAGGATGAACACAAGAGAGTTTCAGAGATGTAAATGAGACAGACACAAAAGTGAGGTGAGATGAGTACGGTGAAAGTAGTCGAATATGACATACAATGGGGTGATGGGATTTTGATGTCAGAAGTCAATTATCGGTTAATAGACCTATTTGCCGTATGAGTATACGTTGCCCAGGGTGCACCACGTAGAGGTAAGTCTATCGCACATCGTGGTGTTTGAGTACATCCTCAATGAGCTTGAAGTAGCATCGCGTTAAAATAAAAAAATCCCCTTCGGCATCTTCACAAAATGCTTTTAAATGATCAATAAATCTATAATACTTTTTTTTCATTAAATACTCTAAATATCCTTCATCCCATTTTTTTCTTAAAAATTTGGCAAAATGAAATAACATCCCTTTAGTATTTACGATATGTGGAATTTCGTGCAAAATTTCAATAAGTGATAGTTGCATTCTGTCACATTATCTGCTATTAACTCACTCAAAGAAATATTAAAAATTAACAAAAAAGTAAAATTATAAAGTACACTATTATTTGTAGGGTACTGACACTCTAAGTTATCGACCTCCACCCGTCGTTCTTTAAACTATTTATAACGCCTAATTCTCGGTTTATTACCCCCTTTAAAGAATGCACATCATATTCTTCCAAAAATGGACTCTTGAAAGAGCCTCCTTTTGGTGGATTAAATAAAGAGGATCAGATGGAATAAATTTTCATATTCTGAGTACGCCGAATGAATTTTCGTGGACAGGGGAGTCAACAGTTTTCCTGTCATGCAAAGATATCTTCTGGGGTGGGTGAAAGACTTACCTCCACGTGGTGCACCCTGGGCAACGTATACTCATACGGCAAAAAAGTCTATAAATCGGTAGTTGACTTCTGACTTCAAACTACCACACCCCACTGTATGCCATATTCGACTACTACACAGTACTCACCTCACCTTTTTTCTAAATTTGTATCTACCTCTTTTACATCTTCGAAAGACTCTTCTGCCCCCCCCCCATCTCGACTTTTTTTCAATTTGATGTTCCTCCTCCCCTCTGTGAAGTCTGAAGTCAACTAAAGGGGTAATGATAACCATCAAGACGCCTGTCATTTGATATAAATAAATAAATAAAGATATCTCCTTTCAACGCCTCCCTGCATCGCAATTTCTTGGGAAGAGGTCGAAGGATTTCTTCTCGAAGGGTGAGATAACTATAAATTATACAGGAACTAACACCCTCCATTTCATTCCTTTCATTATGAGATTTTAAGTGCAATTAGTAGTCTAGCTATTAGTTATAATGTAGCATTACTCCAATTTTGAACAATGTTCATTAACAATTTAAACGAAATATCTAATAATACCGATCATAATACCAAATCATAATTCCGAACTGAAATTCCTCTGAATTTCTCTGCAAAGATCTCAAATTTTCATAATTGAAGACAATAGCAATTAGAATTGTTACTCTTTGAAGTCGAAGTGGTTTCTACTTGAGATTGAAAGTTCGTCTCTTATTTAGCTCGCTTCAACTTCCCATCTCAAAATGCATCAAAGCCGGAGGATACGATGGAAATGGCGTATTTTAAAGAATTTTTCAACCTCTACGAGCCCATGGCCCTTTGTGAGTGGATGAATTCAAAAATTGGTTGAAAGTGTAAGTAGTGAGCGCGCATATTCCACTCGCTGGTATTTCTCTATCCTCTATTTCATCATTTAGGCAAGCTACTGGCCACTTGAAGTGGGCACTTCAACAATTAGCTGCAACCACACAGCCTCTCTGAAGAATAGTCGTAGACACTTTGATTTGAATGAGCGACCAATCAAAATGAAACAAAATCTATGAATTATAATAGTGTATATGCAAACAACTATCATTCGTGTCCAAAAGTTACTTGCCACTCACATATCTCCATCGATCCTCTTCCAAATGAATCGATATCCAGAAGATTCTCGGTGGAGATGTCTGTCTACAAAAGCATATACAGCAATAGGCGTGTGCGCTGGTATTTGACAGCCTATTCAGCGAATTGCAAACTTCTCTGCACCGACGATGATCGTCAGTATGTACTTCAACTGGCTGCCGTACATACAGTAGTCTTTATCCACTTCGAGGCAATGGATGTTGACGAGATGACGCTGGGGCATCTGCTACGGGTGTGGTCTGCATCGCCTCTTAGTGTAGATGTCAAGCGCGATATGGGGAAGGAGTAGGTGAAGGAGGAGATGGTGAAGACAGGAGTGAAGCCATTAATAGATGCCGATTTCCTTGAGTTGCTTCATCCTCATGAGGCTTCTTCAGAGGACGAATATATGGTGGGTCGATTGACTCATGAATCCTTCTCTCCTGTTTCACCCATATGCGAACAACTGCTAGTTGTGCTAAGCTTCCTTACGTCAATTTGGTCTCTCAATAGCATTTCAATCTTACTTCTACCTTAGGATGCCCCAGTTATTTCCCTTAATCCAGATTCCAATGTGAATTTCATCAACGAATTCTCACTTCACAACATAGACCAGGTAAGTTCATGCAGAAATGGTAAACGATATTCAGCTGATTTCTTGTGATGTGAATTTGGTGCCTAACATCTTGATTGGTGACATTGTTAGGAGAAGTGGGAAGAGTGGGTGACGTGAATTGAAGTTAACTGTGAGGTGTTCATCCAGGTCACAATTGTACGAATTTTGAAGTGTAACCAGGGGGAGTACAAGTGTGCGTTCCCACCTTCAGCTTGGCAAATCAAGACCACCATTGAGAAACTTATTGCCCGTGGTTTTGTGGTTCGCAACCCACACGACCTCCATGAATACAGATATTTGGAGAAGCCACACCACACCACACCACATCTCATTAATTCCTTTTGTAAATTTTTCACTTGAAAGAGATAGACACTTTAACAACTCCAACATTGGCCAGCTCAATTTTGTCTTTTCTAAATAGTACTAAATTTTCCTGAGGTAGTATGATTCAATTTCGAGTTTCAACTAGGCGGACACACTTCTGCCATTTCCATTCAATTGAAACGAGTTTTCGAGGAATACGAATTTGATTCCAATGCTTCAAATATTTCCCAACCTATGCAAAAATGCCTCAGACAACATGACCTTCTCTAAAATGATAGTAATAAAACTGGAGAATAAAATGGACCCATTGGACCATATTTCATTACCACTTCCCCACTCCACCACCACCATTCACTCCTCATGATCCCCATCTCAAATCACTTCACCCCCCCCCCCCCCCCCCCACCACCCATCACACACAATCGATTTTTAATCAATCCCTTCATTTGATACAAGCTCAAACACAAGCACAGGCACTGCGCTTATTGACTGTAGGAAATAATGCGCTGGAGGTATGGCCACTGTCTGTCAAATTGTATTCCCTGTCAATGACAACATTCGCTCATTCATCTTAGTCCGTCACTGCCTTGCTACCACCATCGTGATGAACCTTCTCAGCCCATAATGGGGTGGGCTAGCACTGAAATCTATTTGAGGAGCCTTCATTGCTCACATCATTGACACTAAGAGTAGAAGAAATGGAATTGGTGGGGTAGGTGGAATAGGTGGGAGAAGCATTCTTTGGAAAGCAGCGCACGCTTGGGTCATTAATTGTAAATTTATCTGTCCTAATGCCCTTTGTTAGTAAGTGGTGAGTAAATAATTCGATTCACATATACAAATTTAACTTTCGATAGACTTTCAAGCACATGCTATTCACTCCGAACAGTTAAATAAATTTGTACTATTTTGTCATAAGTAACAGAATTATCGACACTATGGAATTACAAATAACTAATATTTGCATAAAATTCAATTTTTATCCGATTTGAAAATTGACGTTATTCAGTGAAGAATATTGTGGGAACGTTATCGCTCTGTGCCTCATTGTATGCCTGCATGTCTGCTCGCCAGGATTGGGAGG